AATTGAAATTTTGCAATTAATTTTATTAAAATTGTTTGAAAATAATTGAATTCTTGTGATGAATACTATTATTTATGAAAATAATTGAATTTTGCAATGAATTTTATTAAAATTCCAGAAAATAATTGAACTTTGTCGAAAAATTTTGCTATTCATTTATAAAGATAATTAAAATGTTGCCAATTTTTTTTTTCGATTTTTTGAAATAATTGAATTCTTGTGATTAATACTATTATTTATGAAAATAATTGAATTTTGCAATGAATTTTATTAAAATTCATGAAAATAATTAAATTTTGTCGAAGAATTTTGCTATTCATTTATAAAGATAATTGAAATGTTGCCAATTTTTTTTAGATTTTTTGAAAATAATTGAATTCTTGTGAAGAATATATTGTTATTTATGAAAATAATTGAATTTTACAATGAATTTAATAAAAATTTTTAAATACAATTGAATTTCGGCGAAGAATTTTTCTATTTTATAAAGATAATTGAAATGCTATTAAGAATTTTTTTTAAATTTTTGAAAATAATTGAATTTTTGAAAAGAATTTTAATATTTATTAAGATAGTGGAATACCAAAGCAATATTATATTTGTATTATTATAAATATTATTATTTGATATTATTGAATTTATCTCTTGGTAAGAATATATTAAGATATGTTTTATAACTTTTTAATTTTATTTGCAAATTTTTTGTATTGTAATTGTAATTTTAATTATATCAGTTATGGAAAAAATATTTAAAACTAAATACAATGTGCAATATTGCGTAAATATTACCTGAATATTCAAGCACAATATTGCCCCAACTTTGTGATTGCAATAACTTTTCTCATATTTACAAATAATCTGAATATTTTATACAAAACCGTTTTTTTTTCTCCCGTAACATCAAAATAAAGAGAGCAAATATGTAAACACCACTTTTTTTTCAAAGAGAATTAAAAAATAATACTCGACATTTTTTCACAGTCAATGTACAAAGTAAACTTTATATTTTCTCTACATTAAAACTTTTAATGAATTATAAATTCCCCGAGAAAATGTATATAACTACAAGTGTAATTTTTTTTAAAAATTTTATCCACTTTTAATTTACCATTCTTTAAAGCAAAATAGTAAAAATTAAAATTTTATTTTTCTTAATTCGTTAATAAACTTGAAAAAAAGAATCTGTATTTTTGTATTTTCGTCAGGCAAAAAGAAGTCGATGTTACAATCGACCTTCTTCTTTTATTTTAAAATTAGAAACGTAATAAAGTGAGGTTATAGGGTAATGAAAAATCAAACGAGAAAATAAACCTTGTGAAACAGACTAAATAACCATTAGTAAACCTCTCTTTCTCTCTCTTTCTTTCTTGTTAATATTCTTCGAAGAGTAAAAGAAAAAGTATTTCACGAAAAAATTAAAAAGATCTATTAAAACAAAAAAAACACTTTTTTCCAAAATTGCTCTAGTTATTTAAAAAAAAAAAATCTTTCCACAATATAAATATTAGGAAACATTAAAAAAAATCCCAAAGGAAAATGGAGCAAAAAAAAGAAGCATGTACATAATTATTATTGCAGGCCAAGTCTGTATTTTTATCCGCCTAGTGGAATGTGGTTTCCAGACTTTGTCAGCAGTGAGCAAAAACGATTTACAAAGTAGAAATCAACACTGATTTAGACGTATTCCGCAAAACCTTTTTGATATCTTTCATCATTATTCGATAACTACTTGAATGCAATTGATTTTTTTTTAGATCTAACACGTTCCTACCTTTCATGGTTCAGTTTTCTTTTTCTTTTTTTTAATTTTTTTCCCAAAATAGAAAAAGGATTGATAAATGGATCAATTGAGAGATAAAAAGAGAAAAGGTTCCTACAAGTTGTTAACTTTTTCCTTTTCAGTTAAATAATCATTCGACTAATTTCAAAATTTTAACAGACGATTGATGACAAAATTTACGGCACATAACTCAGTTTTAATTAGAGAAACTTGGATCAAAAGTCAAACCCCAAAGGACAAGTTATCCTTAAAGTAATATCTAATAAGGGAAGTTACAAATTTACCAGGACTTTAGTAGGAGTTTGGTTTGAAACTGACTTAATCGAACCTATGTTTCCAATTAACTGTCAATACTTAAGTTAGCCAATATCCATCACCTTCTGAATTCTAATTATTCATCGACCTGAACGATTATAGAAAAAAATTTTAAAAACTTTATAGAAAAATTATTTTAAATTCGTGACTGACTCTAACCCCTTAATTTAAAAAATTTAAAATCATAGTGATATTATTTTTTTACAATTTTTTTTCTTAAATGCCTATTTTCAACTTTAAAATTAATGAAGCTATAATTTTTATCAAATTCTATAATTTTGAATCAAAAATAATTTAATTCTTGCATAGAATTTTTTTCAAATTTTTTGAAAATAATTAAATTCTTTTTATGAATTTAATTAAAAGTGTATTAAAAATAATTGAATTCTTGTATAGAGTTTTATCCAAATTTTTCAAAATAATTGAATTGTTTAGAAGAATTTTATTACAATTTTTTTAAATACTTGAAATATTTCATGAAATTTTATTCAAATTGTACAGAAAGTATATGAATTCATGTGAAAAATTTTATCAATTATGAAAATAATTAAACTTTTCTAAAAATTGAGAAAAATGATTATTTATTTCTTTCGAGGAATTTAATTAAAATAGTCTTCAAAATAATAATTGAATTCTTAAGAAGAATTTTGTTATAATTTTTCCAAATAATTGAATACTTGCGATTAATTTTATTATTTATGAAAATAATTGAATTTCTGCGATGAATTTTATTATTTATAAAAATAATTGATTTCTTAAGAAGAATTTTGTTAGAATTTTTCCAACTAATTGAATTTCTGCGACGAATTTCATTATTTATAAAAATAATTGAATTCTTATAAAGAGTTTTATCCATATTTTAAAAAATAATTGAAATGTTTCATGAAATTTTATTTGAATTGTATTGAAAATAATTGAATTCCTCTAAAGAATTTAAATAAATATAAAAATAATTGAAATTTTCTCAAAATAATTGAATTCTTAAATACAATTTTATAAAAATTATTCAAAATACTAGAATTAATGTAATGAATTCTATTATATTATATGGAAATAATTGAATTTCTTTAAAATAACTGAATTGTTTCGAAGTATTCTATTAACATTCTTGAAAATTATTGAATTCTTATTCAATTCAATTTTTTGAAAATAATTGAATTGTTTAGAAGATTTTTAATAAATTTTTTTTAATAATTCAATTCTTATGAAGAATTTTGTAAAATATAAAAATAATTAAAATTAAAAAGAAAAATTTTATCAACATTATTGTTCAAAATAATTAAATTCAGTTGAAAATAATTTCATTCCTGAGAAAAATTTTAATAAATATAAAAATAATTGATTTTTTTGAAAGAATTTAATTAAAATTGAATTGAGCATAATTAAATTGTTATAAAGAATATAATCAAATTTTTTCAAAATAATTGATTTTTGCCATAAATTTTATTATTTATAAAAATAATTAAATTTAGAAAAAAATTAATAAATTGTTTCGTAGAATTTTATAAAAATTTTCTTAAAAATAATAATTGAATCCCATTATAAAAAGTTTTATCAAAATTTTTCAAAAAAATTGAATTTCTGCGAAGAATGTTATTAAAATTTTAAAAAAATTTTTAATAATAATTGAATTCTTTCGAGCAATTTTATTGAAATTGTATTAAAAATATTTGAATTTCTTCGAAGAATTTTAACAAATTATAAAAATAATTGAATTCTTTCAAAGAATTTTATCAAATTTTTTAAAAATAATTGAATTTTTTCTAATAATTTTATTAAAATTCAATATTATTAATTGTTTTCTGTTGTCAATTCGTATACAAAATATTTCCAAGTTTAATAACTCCTGACGAGAAAATAATATTAAAAGCTTTTTACTCTTTAAAAAACTAAAATTCTTCACAAATTTGCAAAAATATAGAAATGTTCTCTTTAAAATAACTAAAAAATTTTTTAACAAAAAAATAATGAAAATTTTTGTAAATTTGTATTAAAAATTGGAGAAATAGGAGAATATTACTGATTTTAGTTATACCATTTCGGGAGATGTTTGTAAAGCACAATTTCAAAGAAGATATTTTTTTGCTATTTTTTTACCCAAGTTTGTCAACTCTGTTGATAGACATAAATAAGTTTATGCATTTTTAAAAAGAGGTTTCTGAAGAATGCTCTTGCTTATCTTATCAATGCATTTACTCAAACTTTCTAGAGATTTATAACAAATGTTTGTTAATCATTAGGAATTCTTTAGTACAACACTTTTATAGATCTTCTTTGGAATGGTATGTTTTATAACAAACTTTTAAAATTGTATTGTCTATAACGAATTCTTGGTTCTTCACCAAACCCACCAACTGAGATCCCTGCTAGTGATCTAATTATAAATTTTATAAATTTTATAAGGTTTAATTTTTTTTAGTAATTTGTAAGTATTTTTTTTTAATTTCGAAAACATGGATTAATCCTAATATTTAGTTCGTTAGATTGTAAACTCTGTAGGTCACTTAAGGAATCCGTAAAAATCCGGAAGTTACAATTCTCATGACTCAATACAATATCGAGAGCATCATATATCATATATTATTCATTATTATCATATATCAAATATCATATATTAAGAGCAATACGTCTGTAAATAAAAGGTTCTAAATTAGAGCTGATTTTCGGTATTAAAATAGAACCAAATCACGATTTAGTACCCAAAATTGGTATTAAATTAGTACCTTTCTTTTAACAGTGTACATTCAGCAATACATTCATTAGTAAAAATAGAGGCATTACAATGAATAGATTTTTTCAAATAAATGTTCAATTCAGGACACATACAACCTTCATAATAGTATTAGAATTTTTCGACTAAACTTCTTTGAGTGATACTAATTTCCAAATGTTCTTTCTGTTGCAGATGTTTCGCTTCTCAAACATTGACTTGGAATCAAAAATCGCAATGGAGTCTAACTGCCAAACGAATGGCAGCATTAAAAACATCCCTGACGATGATGGGAACTACGATTATCCAGACGATGTAAACAGTGATGATGTTGAGGAAAATGAGAGCAGTGTTGTAAATAATAATAACAAGAATCAAAACAACAATAGCGAGTGCGCGGATCCACAGCAGAGGCTCGCTGTTCTAAGTTTCGAGCAGGTTCGACGTCTTAATGATGTGATGAATGAAGTTGTGTGCATTCACGGAAGGGGGAATTTTCCAACACTCGAGGTGCGATTACGCGATCTCGTGACAGTGGTGCGTAGCAAATTGGAGGAGAATCCAAGTAACGGTGGAGCTGGTATGAAGGTGCGCGACATACGATTAAACGGTAGAGCAGCATCGCATGTACTCGCCACTGAATCGCAACCCTACAACGATATAGATCTCATCTTTGCGGTTGAGCTGTCAAGCGGTCGTAATTACGATAAAGTCAAGCAAGCAGTACTCTGCTCTCTGTTTGATTTATTGCCAGAGGGTGTGAGCAGAAAGCGCATCACCACCTGCAGTCTCAAGGAGGCCTATGTCAGTAAAATGGTCAAGGTGAATAACGAGGGCGACCGATGGTCCCTAATATCGCTCGGCAATAATCGAGGTCATCGGAATGTTGAACTCAAATTCGTCGATTCAATGAGACGACAATTTGAATTCTCCGTTGATTCCTTTCAAATTGTCCTCGACTCCCTGCTTCTATTCTACGAATGCAGTAGGCTACCAATTGGCGAGAATTTCTATCCAACTGTTGTTGGCGAGTCCGTCTACGGCGATTTCCAAGAGGCCCTTTATCATTTGCACAAGAAGCTCATTTCCACCAGGCATCCAGAGGAGATTCGAGGCGGTGGCCTCCTCAAGTACTGCAATCTCCTCGTCAAGATGTACAAACCCTCACAGCCCGATTACATAAAAACACTCGAACGATACATGTGTTCTCGATTCTTCATAGACTTTCCCGACATAAGCCAGCAGAAGGCAAAACTCGAGAACTACCTTTGGAATCACTTTGTCGGACCTGAGGAGGAGGCCCTCAAGTATCAGTATTTGATGTTGCTGCACAATGTCGTTGAGGAGTCAACCGTCTGTCTTATGGGACACGAACGACGACAAACACTTGCACTTATCGAGAATCTTGCTTATCAAGTACTATGCGAGGAGCAACAACGGCACTCAAGTCAACAGCCAACAACAGGACCACCAGCCTATGTCTACGCTAATGGATACTATTACACACCAGTGATACCAACTGCGTGCTACACTTGCACCTGCAATTCGTGGATGGCCTGCTCGTCGTGATCCCAAGTTCTCATGAGTGAAGCGTAAATATCCAACAGAACAGACCTGATCATCAATATCAGTTGACTCATCTCAAAACACATTTTATAATAATTATTTCTTTCTATTAATTAGTACTATTATCATCTCTAGCCTACACCTAGTTTCTGGTAGTTAACGAAAAAGAAAAACAGCGACAACCACAACAAAACAAAAAAAAAAAAAATATCATTAAACGGGAATTTTTATTTAACTGCGTATATTTTTCAAGTGCTTCTCGGTTTTGTGATGATTGACGAACGACCCTATATTTCAGAGATGTATTTATCAAATTAAATCAATCAGTGCTGTGCGCAGTCCAACACCAAGTGTCGTGTCAAATAACGGTTGGATGTCAAAGCGTATTGCGTTCTTAGGCCCTGTGGAAGCAGATTATTTCCTCAATTTTGGTATGTTCGCTCTTTATCAGAGCAAAGGGGGACTATTTCTAAAAGGCGATATTTTCAAAATCAAAAATTCACAACAAAGAAAATAGTAAACAAATTGATAATCACAGGTTTGCCACAAAAAAAATTATTTTTCCCTGATTTGCAGACAAAACTTCCATTTTTTCCCTCAACCCAAAGAATTCTAATTCACTCTAAAAATTAGATATACTCAAAAAAAATGTTCTTAATATTGCGGATATCCTTAATTGTAGAATTATTCGAAAACATCTATAGTTTTATTTAAAAAAAAAATATTAAACCTTTATTATTTTTCAATAGGGATAGATTTTCAAAAATTTTAAATCCAAACCTTCAAGTTGAATAACTAAAAAGAATAATGTTACGCAGTTACATCTTCAATATTATTTTCATCATTTAAATTCAATTATTATTTTTTTAAATTTGTAACTAAAATTCTTTAAATAAATTATTTATCGAATAATTTTAATAATCTTTTACAAAGTTCTTTGAAAATTTTCAAATCTACTTGTTTACAATTCAATTTTGCAAAATTTCAATTATTCGAAAATTTTTCAATTAAATATATCTTAAAAAATAAAAATTTCAAATAACTTCAACAGAATTGGAATTAAAATTGTTCAAAACAAAATTAGATCTACAAAATTATTAATTTAAAGTATGAAAAATTCAGATATTCAAAGATTTTAATTTGAAATCTTTTCGAAATTCAATTACTTCTTAAAATTGCAATTGTTCGTAATTTTTTTAAAACTTAAATTATTTCTTAAGAGTTTTTATCTAAAATTCTTTTATAAATCCATTATTTTTAATAATTAATTAAATAAATATTTAAAAAATCAACTAATTTCAAAAGAATTTGAATTATGAAAATTTTTCTTGAAACTTAAGTTTTTTAAAATTACTAATTCAATTCAAATTCAATTCATATTTTCTAAAAGTAAAAAGAAATAGAAATTCTGCAAAGAATTTTATCAAGATTTTTAAGAATAATTGAATACTGATATTTAAAAATTTATTGAAAATAATTGGATTCTAGCAAAGAATTTTAAAATAATTGAAATTTTAACAAGAAATTTATAAAAACTTTTTTAAATAATTGAATTTTTTTGATAAATTTTATTGAAAATAATTAAATTTATGTAAAAAATTCCAAATAATTGAAATTCTGCAAAGAAAATTATCAACAATTTTAAGAATAATTGCATTTTTCATTTTATTAAAATTCCAATTTAAAACAATTTTAAGAATAATTGAATTCTTTTGAGAAATTTTATTAAAAATAATTAAAATTCTGCTATACGAAAATTATCAAAAATTTTAATAATTATTCAATTCTTTCGAGAATTTTTATTGAAAATAATTAAATTCATGCTTAGTTGCATGAATAATTGAATTCAGATATTCTATTAAAATTCTATTGAAAGTAATTTAATCTTGGAAAGAATTTTAAAATAATTGAAATTTTGACAAGAAATTTATAACAAAAAATTTAAGAATAATTGAATTCTTTTGAGAAATTTTATTGAAAATAATTAAAATTTTGCTACGAAATTTATGAAAAATTTTAAAAATTATTGAATTCTTTCAATAAAATTTCTAATTAAATTCATTCAAAATTCAAATTTTCTAAGAGCAAAAATAATAGAAATTCATCAAAGAAATGAAGCAAATTTTTTAAAATAATTGAATTCTGATCTTTTTTTAAAATTTTATTGAGAATAATTGAATTCTTGAAAAGTATTTTAAAATAATTTAACTTCTGCAAGTAAATTTATCAAATATTTTAAAAATTATTGAATTCTTTTGGGAAATTATTTTGAAAATAATTATTGAATTCATGCGAGAAATTCAAAATAATTGAAATTCCACAAAGAAATTTATCAACATTTTAAAGAATAATTGAATTCGGTTATTTTATTAAAATTGCATTAAAAATAATAGAATTCTTGCAAAAAAATTTAAAATGATTAAAATTTTGACAAGAATTAAAAAAAAATTTTTTAATAATTGAATTCTTTTAAGAATTTTTATTGAAAAAAATTGAAATTCTGACAAGAAATTTATCAAAAATTTTAAGAATTATTCAATTCTTTCAATAAAATTTCTAACTAAATTCATTCAAAATTTCAGATCTTTTAAATTTTCAATTTAAAACCTTTTGAACTTTATTTATTTATGAAAATTGTAAACAAAACTTATAAAATTCAATTATATTTGAAATTTTCAATAAAAAACTATTCATTAAATAAATTTTTAAGTAATAATGTTATGATAGTTCTTAAAGAATTAAATTATTTAAAATAAATTATTGTCAGAAATCGAAAAAATTTAAGGTTTTGTATTAAAATTATGAAATTACCACGAATTTTAATACAAAACCTTCAATTTTTTCAAAAACAAAATTCAGTATTTTCTTATGAATTCCAAAAATTTAATTTTTTTCCAATACTTTTAATAAAATTCCACAATCTAAATTCCCTGACCTGTGGCAACCCTGATGACAAATTGAATCAATTTAGTAAAAATATTTAATGTTATAAATTTTTCTCAAAATTTTTAAATTCAAATATTTGTGTTAAAAGTATTTACGAGCAAATCGCCTATTTTAAATAAATATATATATATACTCATGGTCAAGGAAGATTAGATAAAGAATGGACTAAATTTAGAGAATAAACGTCATAAGTAAAATTCTCCCGATTCGCTGTTAAAATACTCGTTCTGATTTCGAGATACTAGACACTTATTATTCTTTTTTTTTTAGAAAAGAGGCGTTTTCTATACATATACATAAATAAAAAAAAATTATATATATACATAGATATTTAAAAATTCTACATTACAAAAAATATACATGCATATTATCTATAAATGATTTATTATTAATGTGTGGCTGTGATCACATTTCATTTAGTTTCTACGTTGTAAGATCGTTGGCATAAAAAGTGGGAAAAAAAATCTAAAAAAAAAAAATAAAAATAATAATAAATAAATATACATATACATATATTATATTAATATGTGAGATACCAAATCGACGTCTCGAGCTCGAATTACAACCGTTACATTGACGCAGCCTGAAAATTCGTAGGCGACCAAAAAAAGAAAAAACAGCCACACAAAATTATCGCGAATACTTCTATTTCTGTCTTTTTTTTTTAAGAAATCCTTCTTCGCATTTTGAGACACATTTTTTCTTTTTTTAATTTCAAATTCTTTAAACTAATCATTTTTATACGTTCTCTTTTAATTATTTATTAGAAAAAATAGTTGTTTTTTTTATTATTACAATTTTAAAAATTCAAGTCTACTGAAGAAATGTAAAAAAAATTATCACATGGCGAAAATGTTCTTGTAATTTACAGGAGAAATTAATGTCCTTTTTTTGTAAAGTTTGTAAATAAAAATTGTTGCATTAAAGAAACATTAATTTTCAATTATTATTATTATTAATAAAAAAAAGAAGTTTTCTTTAAATTCCAAAAAATCTTTTTTTAAATTCCAAAATAATAAATGTCCTCGAGTCCTGATGTAAAAAAATTTCCGTCCGAAATGAAAAAAAAAATACATTGAAAGTTGGGACATATTTTTTATGAAATTTGGACTTATAATTTTTTTTTTCAAATTTAAGTTTATGATTATTAATCGAGTCGTATTAAGAGCCTTGTTAAAATAATCTATACGCTTAAGAATCGAATTTAATTGCATAAATGACTTTATGATGTGTTACTTGAGAGGAGAATTAATTTGAATGGCGAAACCAAGAGATGGATCTCAGGGGTCTAGAGGGGGGCAGGGGGGGAGTGATTCCCGTGGAAAGCTGCAGCCAATTTCTCGATTAAATTCAATTCTTTTAATTTCAATCAATCAAGTTGAATCAAACTATAGTGACGAGAGAATACAAATATTTTATTCTTTTAATTATTATTATTATTAAGAGTAGAGATGATTCTCTATATGATTTATTATTATTATTATTATTAATGCTAATTAAATTTACAAATAAATAAATTTATAAATAAATTCATATTATTAAAATATTATTATTTGAAATTACGACAGTTTTCAAGATTTATTAATATTGATTATTTATTAAAAATTATTATTTATATTTTTATTATTGTATTTATGATAATTATAACTATATTAGTAATTAATTATTAATTACAATTGTAATTACAATAGTAATTAATTATTAATTACAATTGTAATTACAATATTAATTACAATATTAATTACAATACTAATTACAATAATAATCACAATAATAATTATATTAATAATAATAAAAATAATTATAGTTGTTCTAATAATTATAAAATTGCTATAAAATTATATTTTTAATTATATAATAATTATTTTTATATTAATAATTAAAATTATTATTATTGTATTAATGATTATAAAATAATTTTTATAATTGTATTAATAATCACAACCAATTATGAAAAATTTATCACAAGATTAAATATTAATAATTTAAGCCGTATAAATATAAAGACCATTAACTTTTATTTCTCAGTAGACGATTTGATTTCCCGGAAATTACAAACGATAATTAAGGAATTCTTTCTATAAGTAATAATTTTTTTAAATTACTTTTGCAAAAAAACGATTTTATATCTTGATTTTTTGAAACAATTATTCTTTTGTTCAGAGAAAGAATTATTTTTCCATTTACTTGAAGAAAACAGTTTTTAACTTATTCAACAAAGAAAAATGTTTTTAAATAAATGTGTTTAAATTGTATTTTTTAATTTTAGAAAAATTTTTTTTTTGAATAAAAAGAAAATTTTCATTATTGCAAAAATCTTTTCTTGAGTTGGAAAAACTTATTTCTTATTGCGAAATATTTTTCGAAAAAGAAAAAATTTTTTTATTCTAATAAAATCTTTCGTTGAATATGAAAAAAAATTCGCAATATTGCAAAATCCTGTTTTTAACGAAAAAAAAAATTCCTTCATTATTGTAAAATATTTCTTTGAATACGAAAAAAATTGTTACATTATTGCAAAATCTCTTTTTTAATTAGAAAAAACTTGTTCCTTATTGCAAAATATTTTTAAGGACAAAAAAACTTTTTCATTGTTGCAAAATATTTTTCAATTAAGAAAAAACTTTTTCATTCTTGCAAAATTTTTCTTTGAATACCAAAAAACTCTTTTTCAATAATTACAAAATTAATTTTCTCATTGCAAAATTAGGTTTTCGAAGAAAAAAAACTGTTTCATTGTTGCAAATCTTTTTTTTCAAATATGAGAAAAATCTTCAATTTTAAAAAATTTTAAGAATAATTGAATTCTTTTGAGAAATTTTATTAAAAATAATTAAAATTCTGCTATACGAAATTTATCGAAAATTTTAATAATTATTTAATTCT